TTTCTTGCTACTTTGCACTTTTGCATAGGTCATTTTCAGAAATGAAGAACAGAGTACTCCTATCTTTCAATAAAGCATGGCTCTAAACAAATTCTAGAGCAGCAGAACTCACAAAGACAGAGTGAAACAAATTTCCAGCCCAAGAAAACCTGGATGGTTAAATGGAAAGGGCTATTGCCTGGGCTGGGACAGGAACACAGTTCAGGTGGGCGTGCAGGCAAAGACCAGGCCTCAGTGAACCTGGAGCAGGCCTCAGGGGACTGAATCATGGGCAGCTGTGGTGAATTCCAGACTTCTCAACCCACAAACACCAAAGACAACTTAGGTCAGTAGGAAAGGTCTATGACCCACTGTGAGAGAGAAGCTCCGTCCCAGTGCAGCCCTGGGGTGGTGGCTGCTTCCTGAGCTCGGCCCACAGATGGTGGGGGAATCCAGTGGCTGATCAGAGGGGGATTGCAGGGATCTCTTTGCAGGTGCTGAGGCAGGAATCTCTTGCTTTGCCCGTGCCTGGATGTGGGTCACAGTTCTGGGTGGCAGTCCTGGGGCGAGGAGAAGCACTGGAGTGGTGGAGCTTGTAGTGGCAATGGAGAGGGAATCCTCCTCACAGTCCCAAGGCAGAAGAGTGCTTGTGGTCACTCACAGACCACAGCACGGGCCAGGAAAGGAGTAAACACTTCACCTTTGATTGTACCACCTTGGAAAAACTGAAAATTTACAGGTCCCTAGAAGTATCTCTGCAAACAGCTGCACAAAACCCCTGAAGCTTGGGACAGTACATTCTCTACACTGTAAGCAGAACCCTACCTTAACAAAGAGTTTAGAACTCAAGTAACTGGCTGGGAACATGAGCAAACTGCAAAAAAAAAAGTCAGACCATAGAATCTTTCTTTGGTGACAAAGATCAAAACATACAACTAGAAAAAGACAACAAAGAAAAAGTTCCTACATCTAAAGCCTCCAAGAAAAATATAAATCAGTCCCAGGCCATGGAAGAGCTCAAAAATGATTTTGAGAAGCAAGTAAGAGTAGAGGAAAAACTGGGAAGAGAAATGAGGGTGATGCAAGAAAACAATGAAAAACAAGCCAATAGCTTGCTAAAGGAGACCCAAAAAAATACTGAAGAAAATAACACCTTAAAAAATAGTCTAACCCAAATGGCAAAAGAGGTCCAAAAAGCCAATGATAATGCCTTAAAAAGCAGAAGTGGCCAAAAAGAAAGTCCAAAAGCTAACTGAAGAAAACACTTCCTTAAAAATTAGAATGGAACAAATGGAAGCTAGTGTCTTTATGAGAAATCAAGACACTGTAAAACAAAACCAAAAGAATGAAAAAATAGAAGACAGTGAAATATCTCATTGGAAAAACTGACCTGGAAAATGGATCCAGAAGAGAGAATTTAAAAATTATTGGACTATCTGAAAGCCATGATCAAAAACAGAGCCTAGACATCATCTTTCAAGAAATTACCAAGAAAAAATGCCCTAACATTCTAGAACCAGAGGGTAAAATAGAAATTGAAAGAATCCACCGATCACTCCTGAAAGAGATCCCCAAAGGAAAACTCCTAGGAATATTACAGCCAAATTCCAGAGTTCCCAGGTCAAGGAGAAAATATTGCAAGCAGTCAGAAGGAAACAATTCAAGTATTGTGGAAACACAATCAGTATCCTGATCTAGCAGCTTCTACATTAAGAGACCAGGGGGCTTGGAATATAATATTCCGGAGGGCAAAGGAGGCAGGATTAGAGCCAAGAATCACCTACCCAGCAAAACTAAGTATAATCCTTCTGGGGAAAAAATGACATTCAGTGAAATAGAGGACTTTCAAGCATTCTTGATGAAAAGACCAGAGCTGAACAGAAAATTTGACTTTCAAATACAAGACTCAACAGAAACATGAAGAGGTAAACTAGAAAGAGAAATCACAAGGGACTTTGAACTGTTTACAGTAACTCATGAAACCTTTATCAGTATTAGGGTAGTTGGAGGGAAAATATATGTATATGTGTGTATATATATATATATGTACAGCTAGATAGCTAGAGGGCACAGGGTGAGTTGAAGATGAAGGGGTGATACCTAAAAAATAAAGGGGTGAGAGAGGATTACAGTGGGAGGAGAAAGGGAGAGGTAAATTATCTCACATAAAACAGCAGAAAAGGCTTTTACAATGGAGGGAAAGTGGAAGAAGGTGAGAGGGAATGAGTGAATCTTATTCTCATTGGATTTAGCTTAAGGAGGGAGTAACATACACACTCAATTGGGTATGGAAATCTATCTTACCCTACAGGAAAATAGGGGGAGAAGGGGACAAGAGAGTGAGGGGGATGATAGAGGGGAGGGCAGACTGGGAGAGGGGGTAATCAGAAGCAAACACTTCTGAGGAGGAACAGGATCAAAAGAGAGAATAGAATAAACGGGAGAGGGGAGGGGGGAGAAGGGATAGGATGAAGGGAAATATAGTTATTCACAACATGACTCCTATGGAAATGTTTTGCATGACTACATATGTATAACCTGTATCAAGTTGCTTGCCATCTCAATGAGGATGGGTGGGAAGGGAGGAAGGGGGACAATCTGGAACCCAAAGCTTTAAAAACAAATGTTAAAAATTATTTTCACATGCAACAGGGAAATAAGATATATAGGGAATGAGGTATAGAAATCTATCCTGCCCTACAGAAAAATAGAAGGGGAAGGGGATAAGAGAAGGGGGGGAGATAGAAGGAAGGGCAGATTAGGGGAAGGGGTATTCAGAATGAATGCTGTCTTAGGGTGGGGGGAGGGACGAGATGGGAAGAAAATTTGAAACTCAAAATCTTGTTTAAGTGAATGCTAAAAACTAAAAATAAATTTTAAAAAAAGAATAAAAGAAAAATAACCTAAAAAAAATTTTTTAAAAGAAACTATAGCTGAAAATTTTAAAGGGCTGGAAATTCTGTCCCCGCACTCCCCCCAAAAAAAGGCCATCTTTTAGTTGATGACTGTAGCTGCTTTACCTATCATTAGATCATAGAAAAGCACCTAGTCCATCGGACTACTCAAAACTCAGCATTCAAAGGCATTACTGAACGAAATTTTCCAGTACCCCACAGCCCAACTGCATGATTTGAAATCATTTTTATATCCCCCATATATTCTTTTATCTCCCAATTCTGTGGTAGCCTCCTGCAAAAGTATGCCATGCTTGGGCAATCAATCAAGTCATCCATATACTATACTCCCTCTCCCACCCCTTCAGAATTTATAACAATCTTTACTCCAATTCCAGGTAACTTCCTACCCTTACCCCACTTTGGTCATTCAACATAAGTACATAGCTACAAATTTGTTAGGCCTCATTTAGCTTGATGTGGGACTTAATATCACATTGAAGCTAGCTAAAAACCAGTCTCTAAAGGGATAAAAGCAGCTTACTATTAGTCTAACCCTTAGAGCAACAAGTCCAAATCTCCTTCCATTTACTCATGTTTCCAATCATCTACCATGGCATCTCTGCCACCCAGGTATCTGCCAACCCAGGTTATAAATGCCAAACTGATGATCAAAGTGGCCATCTCCATTTTCTCTTTGTGCTCTAAGGTCAGTAGGTCAGTTACCATGATCATGAAAACTTGCAATGCAATGAAGTCACACTGTGTTTCTGGGAGCACATGGTGCTGAGGCACACACAACTTCTCTCACCCAGGCAGAGAGAAGGTTCTCTATTTTACCTCTTGAAAACATCCATGGGGTGGCCTCCTTGAAGTCCTGTGCAGCCCTCATTTATCACGCCAAAGTTCATGCTGTTCTCTAAGCAGTCTCTCCATGCTTGTGGTGCTTTCTTGGACTTGGTACATGTGTTATCCCTTCCTTACACCCTGTGTAGGGCATAGGCAATGGTGAAAAGAATCCCCTGAAGATCATGAGGTGTTGCTGCCCGCACCACAAGATTCCCTGATCTGTAGGAACAGAGCCATTGCCATCCTTCAGTGACAAGGACCCTTCTGAACTGTATGTACAGAAGTCCTGGATTCTTTCAACTTTGGCATTCCATCACTGCTCAACTTGATCTATACAATCCAGATGTGGCCCTTCATTTCTGTACAAAAATACTGCAGGCAAAGCTACCCTTACATGCTCCCACAAAGCAGAACAAGGCATCAGAAATTTAAAATTACTGTACCAATGCATCTTGGTTAAAGTGTCTTATACTGCTGCCTCTGATGAATTAGGTCTCTTCTGACAGAGATTCAGAATTTACAATCATCTTAAATTATCGGCTGGAAAATACAATTAGTAAATTTAGGAATTATTTTCCCAATCTATCTAAATTGTATCTAACATTATGGAACATTAAAAAAAAAACTTATTAACTGCATAACCTTGGGAAAGTCAGTTATATTATCTATGCAAAGGGGATACTATCTAACCTGCCTCAAGGCAGGGGACTGAACTAGATGTGTTCATGTTCCTTTCTACGCTCATCTACAATTCCAGAAGTATTATTTTTGCCCAATTTTTCAAACCCAGCTGAGTCAATATCACATGGTTATACCCTACAGCTTAACAATCAGCTTTAGGAACTACAGTGTAATCAAGTTGCTAATTGTTCTTCCATTTGAAAATGGCCTAAAACATCTTAAAGGGCTCATAATTTCACTTCAGCTTTAGGTAAGTTACTCTAACAATTTAAACTTGTTTAGTTGCATTCAGAGAGGCAACTCAAAATGTAATGTTACTGAATGAGAATTTCCCTTCAGTTACCAGGAATGATCCTATATAAGCTACCAAATAGTTAACACAAGTGTTGGATGCCATTCACATGGGAATGACTGGCAGACAAGTTGGTCTACCCAGCCAGCACTATTAGCACCCGGTGAAGAGGCAACCTTTATTTAAAAAAAAAAGAGAGAGAAAGAGAGACTTCTTACATCTTTTGTGCGTCTTGGACAAAAGCATTTTAAACCTCTCGGGTTATGGGGTCTTTTGGATTCATGCAAAAACAATACGGCCATTAGTGTTTGGACCAGAGTCTTTATTTGAGAAGTATAAAGGATGGAGTCGCAATAATTTTTGGCATTTTTAATTTAGGTTTGTTTTATTTAAGTTTAATGTTAATTCCATGCTGTGTTTCAGTAAGAACAATACAGATTCTGTATCTGTGGCTCCAGTCAGATATCCAGTAGTACAAATTAGCTTCAAGTTACACATACTGAACGAAAGAGGTTGAGCGAGCGAAGGAGGGCAGGGAGTAAAGGGGGAGAAGGGGAAGAGGGAAGGAGAAAAACCAAAGAATTGAACACGCATGCAGGCTTTTCAATACCACCTTCAATGCTAACCTGCTGTGAGGGAAGGTCAAAGTCGGCAAGAATGAGCAGCCACGGATTGTTGGGCTGTTACCAGCACCATTTCAGCACAGTTTGGAAACACTTTTTACAGCAAAACCACTACAATAAACGTTCCAACGCAACCTGTAACTTCGAGCTAAACACCCAATTAATTTTAAACATTGGTATAAAATTCGGTTTAAACAATTATAAAAAGGAAAAATGCCACCACATGCGCCCTACAGTGCGATAAACCTCTCTCCTAGACTCTCGCTTCACCTAGAAGTCTAATGGCATTCCAATGTAATATCCATTTCTAATGGTTATCTTGCCACATCTGGCACGGAGACAATACAGTAATGCTGAAAAAGCCTCTATGCAGTCCTGTTAGTGTCTTAAAGAACCTAAAAGCTGGGACCAGTAAAATCCACAGAAATTCACTCTTGCCTTTAAGAACTTTGAAAACTGTTTAAAAAAAAAAAACCAACAGGGCAGGAACCTAAATTCTGAGACCGCATGTAAAAGTCAGATTTGGTGGTTCTCAGTGACAACGGGGAGTTTTCGGGGGAGGGCTGGGGAGGAGTGGGGTGGTCAGAGATGGATTCTCTTGTTGGCTTCGACGTCCCTCTCACTGGTTTTCATCTTCCACATCCTGCAGTGCTTCTTTGTTCTGTTCTTCACCTGTCAAAGAAAAAGGGTCAGCACTTGCATCGTGACTCAAGACGCTGCAGAGGACAAGCAACTCCCCAAGTACAAAGGAAGCGTGTACTCGCTACAATTCTATTGCCCACTCATACAAAGGGTTCTGTTTCATGAAAAATCAGACATTCTTAAGCCCCCAAAAGACTCGATTTCAATGACCTAGAAGACTATTACGCAGCATGAAAATCAATGCAGAGTAGTCAACTTTGTCTTACTAAGTAGATGAGCTCTCAACACGGACAGCCAAGATAATGATCTTATAATGATTTTCAAGCTTTCGTGTTCTATCTCAGGACAAAATGTTCTTCCCTAATAACCTCACCCCCACCTTATACATCAAGAAGAAAAGGTAGGTTTTCACAGGAGCAGGGACGTTTCACCCGCTCAATCTCAGTAATGCTTCAAAACAGAGGCAACCTTGCAACAATGACTCATGAAATTAGAATTAAGTTTATTATGGCGGTTGGTTTTTGTTATTTTTGAAACGGGACATTAACATTGTGTCTCATCAAGGCAACCTCAAACTATCCTAATTTCACATTCCAAAATGGAACAGCATGCCAAAAATAAACCAGAACACTGAGGTTATTAGAGAAGGGCATTTGGACCAGGTTCTCTCATGCTGTTTTTCTTTAAAATAGTTATTAGCTTGGGGAGTTTTAACTGCACTAAGACATGCAAGAGAAAGCCAGCCTACTCACTGGAGGTCAACTACCTACTGATGAGCATTAAATAAGTCAGCCATAACAGAGAAGCAAGCATGCCAAAGAGATAGGACTTTCCATAGAATATGATTAAACAGGTGAAAGTTACAGTCTTTTTCTTTGATAAACCTCTTACAGTCTTCTACAGTTACCTGAGTTGAATCTAAATAAAGGAAATCAATTAGCTAACTCCATCTCTTGACATAAGGCAGTTCAGACACAAGGAACCATAGAATTGGCCTTCCATTCATGATTCATACATATTAAAATAGCAAACTAGATTGGATAAGATCCATACTGATAGAGGCACCTTAGACAGATGTCTTCTGAAACCTGGATATAGTGAATCATGGCATCTCAACAAATGTTAATATGAAAATGGTAGGAAAAAAAAGCCCAGTAACTTTTTTTGGGGGGGGGGGGAACAGGACCCAGAGAATGTTTTAATAAAGGTGATTTCCTGACAATAGTATTTTATTTTGAAGGTGCAGGGGGAAAACATTTTATTAATCACTTATTAATAAAAAGGAACTGATGAATTTCCCAATTCTTGACAAAACCTCTGTGCATCTAAACTTGGCAATAAATGATTCTAAAAAATTTACTCTACTTTTCTGATAGCAGAATATGGCTGAAACAGTTAATTATTCAAGGTCTTAGCAAGCTGTAGTTCACACATAAGCAACTGTGAGATTTGCCAAAAGGTCAAATAACTTTATACCATCCTCATGTAAACCACACCCATCCAGAAAGTGGTCAGCCGTAGCAGGCAACAAATCACTAGGAAAATGTTTAGCCCTAGAATCAAGTCTAAGACACAAGCAGCCTATGAGCACCAAAATGATGATATGCAGGCATGATTAGTGAGGAAATGAGAACTCAAAGCAGAAAAATTCACTGTGCTAGGATAATGACTTACAAAGTAGTTTTTAGGAAAGAACAGTTGGATTTTCCTTTAGGAATCTATATAGCAGGGAGAAAGGGGGGAAAACAGGAATCATATGAAAGCAACATTACTTAGTGTGGAAAAACCCCAAGGTTGGTGGACAGAGTGAAGACCATTAAGACTTGGGAGTCAGGAAAACGTCCAATTCCGGTCTTCCTACTGACTTGCATAAAGGATAAACCTATCTTTCTAAAAATATTCCTTCCAATTGTTTCTTAAACTGCATCTTATTTTCTGCTATCTGCACACATTTCAGCACAACTGGGAAGTTCAAACACTTTCTTTTCCACAACCTTGCTAGCTAAGCTATCTGCCTCTCAAATTTGATTATTTAACCTTCTTGTCAAATACACGGTGACAAAACTTTCATGTGAAAATCAAACTTTCCACAAAATTGGATCTAACACCTGAACTAATCTCCAGAAGAATAAGGCTCAAAGGGAAACATATTTGAAAATAGAAATGGTACATGATTCTGCCAGCTAAGTCTATTCAAACCTGTGAAGGAGAAACTTCCCAGCACTTAGCCTGACTCTTAGAAAAGAGAACCAGGGGCAGCTAGATGGCGCAGTGGATAGAGCATCGGCCCTAAAGTCAGTAAGACCTGAATTCAAATCCGGCCTCAGACCAAACACCTGACATTTACTAGCTGTGTGACCCTGGGCAAGTCACTTAACCCCAACTGCCCAAAAAAAAAAAAAAACAAAAAACAAAAAAGAATAAACAAAAAACAAAAAAACAAAAAACAAAAGAGAATCAGGCTGCTGTCAAGGAGAGCTCGCCATGACATCTGCCAGACAAGCTCAGTTCTCTTGCCCAGATCTTACAAGGCAATTGTTAGACATGATAACAGATTAGAACATTTCTACTAAGTTTTGGAATACACTGAATTGTTCCCAACTCCAACAAATTTACCTAATTAAATTTAGTATTAAGTTTGTATTCCCTTAAACTTATGCCTAAACTTATATTCCTTAAACTGATATTCGAAGCAGAAATTTTCAAAATTAACACAGGCTGCTGCTGGCAAAGAGTAGCTTCTTCCTTCAAATAAGGAACCACGAACAAGAGTCGCAAACATCACTTTAGGACCTGGCATGTGAACCTAGAACAGACTCAACCAAAAATGCCATCCCGCTCTCTTTTTCACCCCTTGAATCACTACAGGGTCCGATGCAGTGAGTATCCACCAGAGGACATATCCCTGGCAAACTGTTAACATTTTCTCCTCCTTTTCTCTAGGCTGCTATGACAGTACCCACTATAGCTAGAAAGACAGCAGTCTAGGTTGGAGGTGACCTGTCTCAAAGGAGCACAGGTTCAGAGCTAGAAAGAAGCTTTGTGACCATCTAGTTCAACTCTCTCTTTTTTTATAAATAAGAACACAGGCATAGAGAAGATAGGTGCCTGGTCCTTTAACATCTAGCCAAGTATTAAGCAGCTAGGTGGCACAGTGAATAAATCACTGAGCTTGGAATCAGAAGACTCATCTTCATATCCAGCCTTAGACACTTACTAGCTATGTGACCCTGGGCAAGTCACTTCATCCTCTGTGCCTCAAATTTCCTCATTTGTAAAATGAGCTAGAGAAGGAAATGACAAAGCACTCCAGTATCTTTGCCAACAAAATCCCAAATAGGGTCATGAAGAGTTGGACACAACTGAAACCACTGAACAACAACAAAATTATCAGAGATGGTTTGTTAACTAAGGTCTTGCAGACTCCAAATTCAGCCCTTTCTCCACCATGTCATACTGGGGCTCCCTTTTCTATCCACACTATTTGCACCTCAAAGGATATCAGGGTTAGTGATTTAAGAAGAGCCACTTTAAAGTCATTTCCATTTTTTTCTCTTTCTGGACATAATCTCAGGAACTGATTGGCCAGTCTCACTAGTGGTAATTCAAGTGGGAAATCATTTAATTTACTCTATTACATATTTGACAGAGGAAGAAATTTCAGCCCAGAAAGGGAAAGAGCCTTGTTCTAGTTCATCGAGCTGGGGCTCAAAGTCACCCCAGCCCCAGACCACTCCAGCACACTGATGCTCAGCTCTCTTGAAGGTTTCACAAGCCAGACTGGGCTCCTCTCACTCTGGCTGCCAGCACCTCGAGGCCGGCAGAGGACCAACCGTAACACAAACAGGAGGCCGCTGCCCTTGGTCCTGGCCTGGCCAAGGCTCATCATCATTATGCTGGCATTTTCCCCATTAGACTATTGTGGTTCATTCATTTGTAGCTCTCACTTAGCCACTCAAGAACACTTCAGATCAGCGCAAACTACCTGGAGAGATTTCAATGGACCTCGACAGCTGTGTACATAACATGACTGACAGACCAAGCCAGGTTTGGGCCTTCAGGAATGTCACCAGCCCCTACTAAAACCTTCAATACAATAAAGCAGCAGCCCAACCTCAGAGACAATATTCACACAGCCCTCGGTTCCTTGTCTTGTTTTCCAGCCTCTGACTTTCAGAACCATGTACATTAAACAAAGTTTACTTAAGCAGAACCTTTAAAAAACACTCTGCTATCATTAACTTTTGTGCAGGAAGTAGAAGAACCTATCCTTTTACTCTAATTTTTAACTGGAATAAGAGATGACTATAGACCAAGTAAAATGACATTCTTCCAGTGTTTTCTCTAAAGAGGCACAAATTTTTTTAAAAAATTTCGACATTAAAGATATAGAATCTAGGATTGTGGCTTAATACCTACAATACCATCTCCTAAGATATACACATAGACGTCACAAGTTTCAGTAGTTAAAAGTGAAACTTCTAACCTTAAAATATTGGGAGGTGACAGATTCAGGGCGAAGACTGAGAACTCATTTTTGAACCTGGCCAATGGGAAAACTTGTTTTGCCTGACTATGCACATTTTGGGGAGGGGTGGTTGGGTTGGCTGTCTTTTGTGTCTACCAATGAGAGAGGGTGAGTGTTAAGAGAAGGGGGTTTTTGTTCATTAATTTAAAAAATAAAGAATACTTACCATCACCCTGCATATCTGAAGTCCATAGTGTCAGGTTATCACGTAACAACTGCATGATAAGTGTCGAGTCCTTATAGCTTTCTTCACTCAGCGTATCCAGTTCTGCAATTGCATCATCAAAAGCTGCTTTTGCCAACCTACAGGAATTAAGATTGTATTTGTAAATGCCACATAAGAACAATAAACTCAGTTTCCCAATTCCACAAAATAAGACATCACTAAGTCTGATCATCCCCCAACCTTTTTTTTTCCTATCACTAGCTTGTGTCCTAGTATCGGATGGGTGATTAGTTCAGGCAAAAGCTTTATCTATCACAAATACTGGAGTAGGGAAAAGGGGGCTGGAGGGGTCTGCCTTGAAAAGGCTAATTCAGAAGAACATTCCCAAATGTACCTCCCCATTTAGCCTATTAATAAATATTAGGCTTCCAGGAAGTATGGTTTCACACATCCCTCCGAGAGATGGGGTCTTCAGAAGTTGCTAAGTCAAAACAAAACAAAAAATTCATCCTCTGATAGTTTGCAGGGTTTTGGGATGAGCCTCTCTGAATTAGGCTGATTCTTGAAAGAGGTGGTTTATAAAATCCTTAGCCAGCCCATACTCAAAAATCCTCTAGCTCATTAAGGTTTGCCAGAGTCTAGGATAACTCAGGGTCAACACATCCAAAATGGGGAAGCATAAGACTAAGACTGTAGGGGATGACTACACATTAATAAATATGCAGGTCAAATTTCACTCCAAATCACTGAAGATTGGCCTAGTCAAAAATGTCTTACATTTCACAAAACGCTTACATATTTCATTTGATTTTTCTCAATATCTGTGTGCTGGGACTAGTCTACTTACTTCAAAGAGCTGATATAACAAAATCTACTCCAAAAGGGGGAAATTCACCATAACAGAACTTACTATACTGAGGCTGAGACAATTCAAATCAATAATGAAAATGTATGAATATGGGCTACTCATCACAATTTATGGAATGAGACTATATTAGAATATCAAATGGAATGGATAAATACCTATAGTTTATATCAACACACACACCACCACCCCAATGGAGACCCACATCTGTTTCCACTTTTGCTAAACTCAACTGGTCATTGAGAATATTTTCAGATTGGTTAAACTCTTAAATAAGTCCACCCTGTATTAGCAAAAAAGTTCCTAAGTGGCCAATATAATTCCTACCAAAAAAAGAAGGCCTTAAATTAATCCCAATTTTTGTTTCCAGCTGGTGAATACTAGGTTTTCGAACAGAATGTGATTATTTATACCTACTTTATCATTACAATATTTGTCTCAATGCTGAAGTATAAAAATGCATATTTTATGCCAGTGGGGCTGGATTGGGAATAATTTAGGCCCTCAACCCCATCTAAGAGGGGTGGGGTGATCATATGAGGTGATCCAACAACATGGGCTATAAGGGGAATATCACAGTGAGGATGAAGCAAAAATAAAAATAAATTCCTAATGTTATCATACAGGTGATTTTGCTTTTCTTCTCCAAATGGTTGATTTACCTGCAGGCACGGTCAGGGGAATTAAGAATTTCATAGTAGAATACGGAAAAGTTGAGAGCAAGACCTAGGCGGATAGGGTGCGTTGGCGGAAGTTCTGTCATTGCAATATCACTAGCAGCTTTATAAGCCACCAGGCTATTCTCTGCAGCCTCCTTCCTGTCATTTCCTGTGGCAAATTCAGCCAGATACCTGTGGTAGTCCCCTTTCCTGGAGTGGAGAAGACAAAAACAAACCAAAACATTTAAAGATACTGTTTTCAGGTTGTCCCTAAGCTCTGCACATAATAATACAAACTACAAATACAACCACATACTGTATATGTGAAGATTAAGTGTATTTGCATTTTCCCCAACATTCAGGCTTACTTTGTCAAACAATATAAAAGCTTCTAATTTCAGACCTGATTAATTCATCTACTGCTAACTACTTCCACCTTGGATACCACCCAAACATTCAACAAAAGCCTGTAAGCTCAACTACTCCAAAATCATATAAAACCCTCAAACTGACTCCTCACTTAACAATCATCCCTAAAGATGATAAATACTATTTCCCCAAGAACTCTGAGAGGTGGAAAAACGGCCTATAAGTGACCCAGTAGGATTTCCATGACATATGCAATCAATAATTAGCAATGCTTTGGTACAGAAAAAAGAATCTATTGAAACAAATGACAAATATAGGAAAGGGAAACGGGACATGTTTTTGTTATCTCAACAACAGCTCCCAGTCATCTGAAACACAAGAATCCACTGCATGAAAAGCACTTTCCTCCTTGTGGTTCATCCCTTGGCATCATGTTCACGGCTAACTGTACTTATTTAGACGCCACTTCCCCCACTTCATCTTTCCATAGTTACAAGAACATTCTTAAATATGAACCCTTCATAGGAAGTCATGTTCTAAGAAGAATGCCAACTTTAAATCGGACATTTCCCTATGAGTAAGGAACCTACATTTTATAATAGAAAACCTTGGACTCGCCAGTGTTTGCTGCTGGAATGAGGTGTTTGTCCAGTACGTCCAGAATGTCACAACAGATTAATTTTAGTTCAGTCTCAACCTGGAAAAACAAACAGGAGGCTTAAGACTCATAAATTCAACAACATATAAGTAACTCACCTCGAACTTATTTATGGGAGTGAGACCCTGCTGTTAAATTGATCACTGTTGCATTTCTCCCATTATTCTTTAATACACTCCCCTGCCCACACACACAAACTAAATATTCCAGGAGGGACAGTCTCTAAGATCGAGGCATCTTTTCCCTTTTGCTACATGTTTGGCTAAGAACCAAAGTCAATGTCAGGGTTGTTCTTGGTGTACACAGTGAAAAAACCCACATCTCAATTTAAAAACTATCAAAACTCAGAATTACCGAAGAGAAAAATAACAACGCTAGATAATCATAAAAGAGAGATAGAAAAGAGTGATGATGTGAACATAGGACTGATGGAGAAACATTCAAAACAGGGGCTCGGAAAATTTGTTACGTTAGTTCAGGTCCTGAAGGTTATTTTTCACTGAGTTCTACCTTTATGTATCCTATATTATTGCTACTACAATGTGGCCAGATTGTTAAAAAATGGATTCCATTTGAAAAAATCTAGAAACATTAAAATAAATGTTAGTTTACCGCTCATTCCTATGAGCCCAGTCTGAGCCTTCATCATATCATGCCTATCTTACTGTAACTCCATCCAGTTTGACTCCCCTTTCCAATCTATATCATACACCACCACCAGATTATCATTCCTAAAACACTACATCCCAATCTGATTAAGTCCATACTCTGGCAATCGAACCACTAGCAGTGAACCAGGTTCTTCCCCCACCCCCCCCAAAAAAATCAGGTAAAAAGCCTCAAGTCCCTTCCAAGGGATAAGGAAGCTCACCATTTGCCGATATTCCCGAATCATTTTTAGTTTGTCTTCTCCTCCCTTGTTTTCTTCTTTCTGTTCAATGCTGCTGATTATCCGCCAGGACGCTCTTCTGGCTCCAATCACATTCTTATATGCAACTGACAGTAGGTTTCTTTCTTCAACTGTCAACTCCACATCCATTCCTGCTACTTTCTTCATTGATTCCACCATTTCTGAAGTAACAAGAAAATTGGAAATGTCAAAATTTTATACTTTTAAGATGCTGAAACTTTAATTATTATGTTTCTTCTCATTAGCCTTATTTCTGCCAGAGTAAATAGATAAACAGTCTAACAAAAACTATCGTTGCACGGCTTTTAGACCTCAAAGATCACTCCAGGTCTAGGACTCTTTCCACTACATCATGCTGCGTTCAGGAGATCACCATAATCAAACACAGGAAAGCAAATACAGGAAAACTCTCAAATGTGGTAAGGGTTTAAATACCCTATTCACTCACATACACAAAAATTTTTGCAGTAGCACTTTTGTGAAAGCAAAGAATGGGAAACAAAGTAGATGCCCCATCAACTGGAGAATGGTTAAACAAATTGTGATTGTAATGTGCTGGAAAGAAATGATGTGTGTGATGAATACTGAGAAGCATGGAAAGAGCTATATGAATTGATGCAGAACCAAGAAAAAATATATACATAATGACAACAACTCAGAGAAACACATACACAAACACACGCAAAAAGTGAACATGCAAAATTACAAAAAACAAGCATGGCTCCAAATAAGAGATGTGAGAAGATGCTCCCACCTCACCCTTTGGCAAAGATGTGAGGGCCCACTGGTTTCCCACACTGCACTTGTTTTTGGACTCTTTCAATGTATTAATTGGTTGCACTAATTTTTTCCTCTTCTCGCATTTAAAAAAATACTATTTGTTATATGGAATAACTTTCTGGGAGGTGTGGTTAATTAGGGGGAAATTATGAGGATGGGAAAAAACAAAAAATTCAATAAAAACATTTCTGTAAGTGAATATTACAAAACTATAAAGAAGCTAATAGGACAGAAAAGATAAATGACAAATGTTGGAGGGGGTGTGGGAAAAAATGCACTATTGGTGGAGTTGTGAACTGATTCAATCATTCTGGAGAGCAATTTGGAACTATGCCAAAGTGCTATAAAATCATACATACCCTTTGACCTAGCAATACCATTACTAGGTCTGTATCCCCCAAAGAGATTAAAAAAAAAGAAAAGAAAAGAAAAGAAAAAGGACCTACATGTATAAAAATATTTATAGGGCTCTTTTCTGGGGGCAAATAATTAGAAATTGAGGGGATGCCCATCAATTGAGGAATGGGTGAACAAGTTGTGGTACATGATCATGATGGAATACTATTGTACTATGAGAAATGCGCAGGATGCTCTCAGAAAAATCCAGAAACAATTGCATGGGCTGATGCAAAGTGAAAAGGTACTGTGTACAAAGCAACAGCAACATTGTACAATAATCAGCTATGAATGACTTAGCTATCTGTTCTCAGCAATTCAAAGATCCAAGACGACTCTGAAAGATTTATCATTAAAAATGCTATCCATCCCCAGAGAGAGAATTGATGGTGTCTGAATACAGATTGAAGCATACTTTTTTTTTTGCATACTTTTTTTTTTACTTTATTTTTCTTGAGGTTTTTTTGGTTTTCTTTCAGAACATGACTAACATGGTAATGTTTTGCATGACTACACATGCTTGATCTATATTGAACTGCTTGCCTTCTCAAGGGGGGTGGGGTGGGGAAAGAAAAAGGGAGAGAATTTGGAACAAGTTTTAAAAATGAATGTTAAAAATTGTTTTTACACATAACTGGGGTAAAATAAAATACTAAGAAAAAAACTATAAAGAATAAGCATGGTTCAAAAAAAGTCATATAAGAAGACCCCTCCCATCATATTCTTTTGTAGAGGCAAGGAAGTCCACAAATGGTGTACACATTGTACATATTTTTGTACTTTTTCAATGTAATGATCACTAATGCTGATTTTCTCCTCTCCCCCCTCTTTTTTGTCTTTAAAAATTATTATCTGTTATTTGGGATTGTCTTTGGCAGGGGGAGGGATGATGAGGGAAGTTATGGTGATGCAAAGAAAAAGAAAAAAGTCAGTAAGAAACTTTTAAAAATTTAATTCCAAGGGGGCAGCTAAGTGGCACAGTGAAGAGAGCTCTGGCCTTGGAGTCAGGAGGACCTGAGTTCAAATCCAGCCTCAGACACTTTAACACTAGCTGTATGACCTTGGGCAAGTCATTTAACCTTGAGTGTCTCACCAAAAAGCAAAAAAAAAAAAAAATTTAACTCCACATTCACCACAAATACACAACAATTAGGTCTGATTTGGGGACGCATAGGCAAATTAAATAACATAAATCAATGTCTACAAATTTTTCAGTAAACTTGGCAGAAACTGGTGTCGTTAGACACCAAACTGCTTTTATTTACTATAATGGGAAGAACACTGTAAAGGAAAAAATGTAATGTGAGTACTATTTATCATGCTGTTGAAAAAATACAAAATCTTATAAAATCACATGAAAAACATCCAAAATTTCTCATAACTAAAGAAATGTCCACTAAAACTCCCATCCATCAAAAATTAACAAAAAGGAAGAGGTCAAGAGTTGATACAGGAAAGGATAGAATGAAGTCAGTACACTATTAACATGCCTTGAGAGTTATCAAATAATCCAACCTTTTTGGAAGCTAAGGTTTCCAAAAATGGTCAAATCCTTTGACCTACTGGACTATATCGAGAAAAGGTCACTGACAGGAAAATGGGATCTGTCTAAAAATATTCATCTAATGGCAAGAAACTATAAACAAACTAGTCTTTTCCATAGAAAACATTTGAACAAATTATTACAGGTGAATGTCATAGAACTCATGCATTCAAGAATTAAAAGACAGCCATGAAACGATGCAAAGTGAAAAAAATACAACCAAAAGCATACATACACACTGACAACTACGTAGCTAAATAGCAACAAACCCATGTAAACACAGTAGTACTGTGTTAAAGTCAATAAATATATCTTCACATAGGCGAGAATTTACAACGCAAGGTTTTTTTTAATGTATCTGAATACTGTAGATGGTCAGTGGAAAGGTTAAATAAAACAATCTTTTAAGCCAGAAAGCACACATTCTGCACACATTTCCTACTTTGAAACAAAAGAACCATTTCCTCAAACCACTAACCTAAAAAACTAAGCACCTGGCAGAACAGAAACCAATGATTGAATACATTACCCAGTGAAACCACAATCATCATCTAAAAAGGTTTCAGTGGTGCACTTGATGCCCTAAACTCTCCTCTGTTGTTAAAAATCATTTTGGCAGTGATAAGAATTCTATCAACAGAATACAGAGTAAAAATTACAACTATGGATATGTATGGGTCCAAGCTCCTATGCCCTTTTCCAAATGAGAAGTTTTGGGGTGATTTTTCTTTTTAAAGAAAAATGTTGGGGCAGGTAGGTGGGGCAGTGGATAGAGTACCGGACCTGGAGTCAGGAGGACCTGAGCTCAAATCCAGGCCTCAGACCAAGCACTTGACACTAGCTGTGTGACCCTGGGCAAGTCACTCAATCCCAACTGCCTTGTCAAACAAAAAAAATGTCAACAGGAAAAAACAAAAAATATGCAAACCAACGAGCTTAGCACTTCATTTTTACATGTTTCTTTAAGAAGCTAGCTGGAAGATAAGGAACTTGATTTTCAAGCCTGAAGTCTGTCACTGGACATAAATAAAGGTTTTTTTGGATATCTTGTAAGTTCCTTGCCTTCTCAGTGACTGGAATCTGCTAGAATGCAGCTGTCACTTCTCGTATAAATTATAAATTCTTTTCTTTTACATGAAAGCTTAAGTAGTTCCCATTTCCTGACACTAGATGGCAAGCAAAGGAAGAAATAAAAATAAAATAAGGAGAACACTGCAGTCCCCAAGTGCAGACAATTTAAGGTCTCTAATACAAAGTAAAAATAGTTACATTTTCAGGAAAATATATTAATACCACTAAATATAAATCCTTTAGGCAAAATGTCACTATATGGTATTTCTGGGAAATGTCAGTACATTTCAAATAATAAGGGCCCTGGTTATCTCATCTGCAAAAAAAGGAAGAGGATGGACTCATTATTAGATAATGGCTAAGGTCCCACCCAACTCTTACGTAGAATTCTAGATCAATGATCCTATGACTCTTCCCCCAATCTTCCTTCCAAGGAAAGTTCACACAAGCATCTAAAAATAACATTAGGTAAGCCTAGGAGTTGAACAAATGGGCTACAGGAATCAATCACTTAAAAGTAGGGACAACATCCAAATGACTCAAGACCCCAATAGTTCTCCTAACAGTTTATCAATGTTTATACTCCCAGGTTTGCCAGCAGGACAAAGAGGCATTGGTTCAAAATCATTTCCAGATCTGCAACTATTGATCCAACCATTCTGAAAAACAATTTGGAATTGTACTTTAAAAAAAAGTTATTAGTGGGGCAGCTAGGTGGCGCAGTGTCTAGAGTACCAACCCTGAAGTTAGGAGGAACTGAGTTCAAATCCGGCTTCAGACACGTAACACTTACTAGCTGTGTGACCCTGGGCAAGTCACTTAACTCCACTGCCTAGCCCAAAAAAAAAAGTTACTAAACCATATATCTCCCTTGACCCCAGCAATGACAGTACCAGGCAAATTTTTGCCAACTCCACCCCCCCCCAACCCATAAGATCAATGCCAGAGTAGAAAAGTTCACACATATTTAAAAATATCTATAGCTGCACTTTTTGTCAAAGCAAAATCCTGGAAGAAAAGTGGTTTTGTTGAGGAGTGGCTGAACAGGTGGTGACTTATTAATGTAACAATATTACTGTGCTCTAAGAAATTAAATATGGGGATTTAGAGAAATTAGAAAACTTACATCAAACCTGACGCAGCACAATGGAGGCAAAAACAGAACAATTTACAGGAAGCAAATTAAAGGAGAACAAGACTGAAAAGACTTCAGAACTGGGATCCATGTAATGAGCAACTGTGACTTCAGAGGCCTAGCCAGTCCTGAAGGGTCTCTATGCCTGAACCTATGCGATAGACATTAGGGGCAGAACTGGGGTTACATTTTCAGGCATATCCAACATGTGAATTTTTTATTATCAGAAATTCTAT